CATCGAAGGGGGGTGGACTGGATGACCTTTGGAGGTCCCTTTCAACTGTTATAAGAAGAAAAAACCTGCGTCTTTTCCCTTACGGGGTATCCAAGAGCCCGTTTTGGGTCCTTAAGCGGGTTCCCTACGCCGCCATGTTAAAGTAGGAAGCTTCCAGCTATCACATCTTGCCAGCTGCTTGGGGTTCCACAAAAATAAAAACCAGGTCAGTTCTGCTTCCCAGCTCCATCTGGTACCTTGGCTGAGACTCTCTCCCCCTGCGGCTTCCTATAGATCAGGGGTGTCAAACTCAAATTCATCAGCAGTTTGGTCACCCTCAAAGGGCCGGTTGTATCTATAGGACTCAATATGCGCTCAATATAAAAACAAGTGGAGGTTTCCTATGTAGAACGGCCGGCGCCGCTAGAGGGCAGACGTTCTCTGGCTTGTAGGCTGCTGCGCATGCGCTGAAGAGGCGGCTTTCTTGTGTCAAAAAAAGAAGAAGCGAGAATAAAAGGTGAAGGCTGGCGGCCGGCGGCGGCCACACGGGCCACATGACGAGGTCTGGCGGGCCGGATTTGGCCCGCGGGCCTTGTGTTTGACACCCGTGCTATAGATGAAATCATAGCTCGATTCTCGCTTGATCTTTAATGATTATTATTGACCTTGGGATAAAGCAACCAGCCTCTTCAAATCCAAGGAGACGAGGAAATGCAGTTTGTCTACATGCGGATAATAAGAAGAATAATAATTTATTATTTATACCCCGCCCATCTGGATGAGTTTCCCCAGCCACTCTGGGCGGCTCCCAATCAAGTTTTTAAATCGAGTTTTAAAAACAAAACACCTTCTCCGCTGGCACGGGAAGGAGGGTGGAGAATTTGGGGAAAGAATTTGGGAAATAGTCGCTGCCTCGTTAGGTACAAATGAGGTCTTGGAGGCGATCTCGTGGGGACGGAGCGTGCAAGTAGACTTGTGAAAAGGAGACAAACTTTCCCAAGGTGGGGGGGGGGAACCCACATAAACAAGGAGGGATGGTCTTTTGAAAAGTCCTATGTACAAGTAAAAAAAAATGTTTCTGAGACAGAGACGACGCAGACGAACGCGCATGGGATCCATCAGGTGGGCAGACGGCCTACAAAGCAGGTGGATTTTTCCCATTTAAATTGGATTTTTAAAATTTTAACCTAGATTTTTCCCATTTAAATCGGATTTTTAAAATTTTAAATAGCCTTTCATAGCTCTATGGCCCCCACAACCCCTTTGCTACCTCTGTGGTCCCTCTACCCCTATTCTGCTCTGAGACCCCTCTACACTTTTCATAGCTCTGTAGCCCCTTTCCTACCTCTGAGACCCTCTACCCTTTTTCATAGTTCTGTGGCCCCTCTACCCTTTCCTACCTCTGAGACCCTCTACCCCTTTCATAGCTCTGTGGGCCCTCTACCCCTTTCCTACCTCTGAGACCCCTCTACCCCTTTCATAGCTCTGTGGCCCCTCTACCCCTTTCCTACCTCTGAGACCCCTCTACCCCTTTCATAGCTCTGTGGCCCCTTTCCTACCTCTGAGACCCTCTACCCTTTCATAGCTCCCATGGCCCCTCTACCGCTAGTCTACCTCTGAGACCCTCTACCTTTTCATAGCTCTGTGGCCCCACAACCTCTTTGCTACCTCTGAGACCCCTCTACCTTTTTCATAGTTCTGTGGCCCCTCTACCCTTTTTCATAGCTCTGTGGTCCCCTCTTCCCCCTATTCTGCCCCTGAGACCCCTCTACCCTTTTCATAGCTCTGTGGTCCTCTCTTTCCCCTATTCTGCCCCTGAGACCCCTGCCCCTGAGACCCCTCTGCACTTTTCATAGCTCTGTGGCCCTTTCCTACCTCTGAGACCCCTCTACACTTTTCATAGCTCTGTAGCCCCTTTCCTACCTCTGAGACCCCTCTATCCTTTTTCATAGCTCTGTGGTCCCCTCTTCCCCCTATTCTGCCCCCTGAGGCCCCTCTACACTTTTCATAGCTCTGTGGTCCCCTCTTCCCCCTATTCTGCCCCTGAGACCCCTCTACCCTTTTCATAGCTCTGTGGTCCTCTCTTTCCCCTATTCTGCCCCTGAGACCCCTGCCCCTGAGACCCCTCTGCACTTTTCATAGCTCTGTGGCCCCTTTCCTACCTCTGAGACCCCTCTACACTTTTCATAGCTCTGTAGCCCCTTTCCTACCTCTGAGACCCCTCTATCCTTTTTCATAGCTCTGTGGTCCCCTCTTCCCCCTATTCTGCCCCTGAGGCCCCTCTACACTTTTCATAGCTCTGTGGTCCCCTCTTCCCCCTATTCTGCCCCTTAGACCCCTCTACACTTTTCATAGCTCTGTGGGCCCCTTTCCTACCTCTGAGACCCCTCTGCACTTTTCATAGCTCTGTGGTCTCATAGGCCACAGAGACCACAGAGCTATGAAAAGTGTAGAGGGGTCTCAGGGGCAGAATTGGGGGAAAAGTGAAACACAGAGCTATGAAAAGTACAGAGGGGTCTCAGGGGGGTAGAATAGGGGGAAGAGGGGACCACAGAGCTATGAAAAGGGTAGAGGGGTCTCAGGGGCAGAATTGGGGGAAGTGGGGACCACAGAGCTATGAAAAGTGTAGAGGGGGTCTCAAAGGTAGGAAAGGGGTCACAGAGCTATGAAAAGGGTAGAGGGGTCTCAGGGGCAGAATAGGGGGAAGAGGGGACCACAGAGCTATGAAAAAGTACAGAGGGGTATCGGGCAGAATAGGGGGAAGTGGGGACCACAGAGCTATGAAAAGGGTAGAGGGGTTTCAGGGGCAGAATAGGGGGAAGAGGGGACCACAGAGCTATGAAAGTACAGAGGGGTATCGGGCAGAATAGGGGGAAGTGGGGACCACAGAGCTATGAAAAGGGTAGAGGGGTCTCAGGGGCAAATAGGGGGAAGAGAGGGAACACAGAGCTATGAAAATGTAGAGGGATTTCAGGGGTAGAATAGGGGGACGAGGGGACCACAGAGCTATGAAAAGGGTAGAGGGGTCTCAGGGGCAGAATAGGGGGAAGAGGGGAACCACAGAGCTATGAAAAGCACAGAGGGGTATCAGGGGCAGAATAGGGGGGAAGTGGGGACCACAGAGCTATGAAAAGGGTAGAGGGGTTTCAGGGCAGAATAGGGGGAAGAGGGGACCACAGACTATGAAAAGGGTAGCAGGGTGTCAGGGGCCAGAATAGGGTAGAGGGGACCACAGAGCTATGAAAAGGTAGAGGGGGTCTCAGGCAGAATAGGGAAAGGGGTCACAGAGAATATGAAAAGGGTAGAGGTGCTCAGAAGTAGAAAGGGGCCACAGGAGCCAATGAAAAGGTATAGAAGGGGTCTCAGACGTAGGAAAGGGGCCACAGAGCCATGAAAAGGGCAGAGGGGTCTCAGAGGCAGGGAAAGGTAGAGGGCCACGAGAGCTACTGAAAAGGCAGGAGCGTTCATCAGAGGCAGGGAAAGGGGTAGAGGGGTCCACAGAGCTATGAAAAGGGTAAGGGGTTCTCAGAGGTAGGAAAAGGCGTAGAGGAGCCACAAGAGCTATGAAAGAGTAGAGGGGTCTCAGAGGTAGATAGCAGTGAGAGGAGCCACAGAGCTATGAAAGGGTAGAGGGGCCTCAGATGTAGAAAAGGGGTAGAAGGGCCACAGAGCTAGGAAAAGGGTAGAGGGGTCTCAGAGGTAGACTAGCGGTTAGAGGAGCCACAGAGCTATGAAAAGGGTAGAGGGGTGTCAGAGGCAGGAAAACGGTAGAGGAGCCACAGAGTTATGAAAAGGGCAGAGGGGTCTCAGAGGTAGGAAAGAGGTAGAAGGGCCACAGAGCCATGAAAAGGGTAGAGGGGTCTCAGAGGTAGACTAGCGCTAGAGGGGCCACAGAGCTATGAAAAGGGTAGAGGGGCCTCAGATGTAGAAAAGGGGTAGAAGGGCCACAGAGCTAGGAAAAGGGTAGAGGGGTCTCAGAGGTAGACTAGCAGTTAGAGGAGCCACAGAGCTATGAAAAGGGTAGAGGGGTCTCAGAGGTAGAGGGGCCACAGAGCTATGAAAAGGGTAGAGGGGTATCAGAGGCAGGAAAGCGGTAGAGGAGCCACAGAGTTATGAAAAGGGTAGAGGGGTCTCAGAGATAGGAAAGGGGTACAGGGGCTACAGAGCTATGAAATGGGTAGAGGGGTCTCAGAGGCAGGAAAGAGGTAGAGGGGCCACAGAGCTATGAAAAGCATAGAGGGGTCTCATAGGCAGAGGAGCCACAGAGCTACGAAAAGGGTAGAGGCGTCTCAGAGGCAGGAAAGGGGTAGAGGGGTCTCAGAGGTAGTAAAGGGGTAAAGGGGCCACAGAGCTAGGAAAGGGGTAGAGGGGTCTCAGAGGTAGTAAAGGGATAGTGGGGGGCCACAGAGCTAAGAAAAGTGTAGAGGGGCCACAGAGCTCTACCCCTTTCCTACCTCTGATACCCCCTACCCCTTTCCTACCTCCATCCTCCCTTACAGCCCTTTCCCTTCCCAGAACCCATCACTATTTCCCTCTGAAATTGAAATTGCCTCTCCTGTAGCTCAAGACACCCCCCCCCCAAAGCTTCATACGTATATCAAAGTAATTGTTGAACTGAAATACAATTAAGAAGAAGTATATTAACAGTGAAATAATTATTCAGCTCTAACTTAAAGGGTTTTTTTTTATTCACAACAAACTGAACAATGCAAACACCTTGGCATTTGGCGATGACAAAAGTTCCTTTAGAAACACAATTTACAAAGACTCATCACCCGGTCTCCAGAAACTTGCTATAACATGAAATAGGTGCGAACATATGAGGCAAGCTACTAATCAAGATAAATAGCAGAATGTAGGCACCCTATATATTGAAAGGAGAAAAGCAGTGATCTTTTAGGGAGCAGGCGGGGCCCATGACTTACATCACAGGAGCCTACACAACACAAAACAATGTTGCTGCATGTAGGTTTTATTTCATTTCTTATCTTATATTTTGGAAATGCACATCATGGTTGTTTTTTTCCTTTAATTTTTTGGGGGCCCCCAATAGAGTGGGGCCCTAACCTAGAACATGTTTAGCTTATACGTAAATCCGGCACTGATCGCTGCCTGAATATCCTCTCTTTAGCGCTCGCAAAGAACAGTTGCAAAGACCTGGGCTTATTGCAACTTGTGGGGAGACCCCTAAGACCCCAGTTCACCCCATGGACTTCGCTATCTGTCCCCAGGTGACACCCCCCATTCTCATAGCTTCCAAGGTTTCCCTTTTTTTAAGGGAACTTCCCTTATTCCGAATAGGATTCCTCGCAAAAAAAAAGTTGACAGCTATGGCCATTCTTGCCTGCGTTGTCCTTGAACCCCAATGATGACCTAGTACAGAAGCGAGTTTTCAAATCCATTGCCCCGCCCACTTCCCCCTCTGGTTCCGCCCATTGCTAGTGTGTGGCCCCCGGAAGCTTGCGCAGGTGGAGAAAGCGGCCCTCGGCTGCCAAACAGCCCCCTCGCCTCCCTCTCCGGCAAAATCCTTTCCCAAACCTTCCTTGCCCCCATCTCGGGTGTCTCATAGGGTGTTTTCAGAGCAGCAACAGCAGGGAAACCGCCCCAGGCGACTCGAGCGAGCGAGCCCAGCCACGCGGAGAGCGAGAAAAAGGACAAGCGAATGCGACATGGCTTGCTTTTGCTCCTGCGAAAGACCCTTCGGGTCGGGGACACCACAGAGAAGGCCCTACATCCCCGAAGAGACAAACCGCATCTCGACGTTGGCGCCGGGCTCGCATCTGCCCACCCGGCGCTTGGCAGCGAAGGGGAAGACTTTGCGGAAAGCCCTCTGGAAACTGGCGCCCATGAAGGCGTAGACGATGGGGTTGAGGGAGGAGCTGGCGTACGACATGCAATGAGCCCAGATTTTCAGCTTGTAGGTGTAATAGTTGCGGCGGAAACCGGCGCCGAAGGCTTGGGCGAGGATCAGAAGCTGCATTGGGCCCCAGCAGATGGCGAAGAGGACGACGATGGCGCCCACCATCCGCGATATCTTGCCCCGCATGGCTTCCGAGCGCTCAGCCAGCTGCCGGACCTGGAGGAGTCAAGAAGGGGACTTGCAATCAGATCAGCTTGGCCTCTGCGGTCTCAGCTCTGCTGCCCGTGGAGGTCAGTTCTGTGTCCAGGGCAGCTCCATCTGGTACGCAGGATGAGACCCCACCTGCCCGCAGACTGTCTCGCCAGAGTGGTGCATGCTCTGGTTATCTCCCGCTTGGACTACTGCCATGCGCTCTACGTGGGGCTACCTTTGAAGGTGACGCGGAAACTGCAACTAATCCAGAATGCGGCAGCTGGACTGGGGACTGGGAGCGGGCGCTGAGACCACATAACACCGGTCCTGAAAGACATCCATTGGCTCCCAGGACGTTTCCAAGCACAATTCAAAGGGTTGGTGCTGACCTTGAAAGCCCTAAATGGCCCAGTAGACCTGAAGGAGCGTCTCCACCCCAGACACCGGGGTCCCTCTCCCAAGGGCCTTCTGGCGGTTCCCTCCCTGCGAGAAGCCAAGTTACAGGGAACCAGGCAGAGGGCCTTCTCGGTGGTGGCGCCCTCCCTGTGGAACGCCCTCCCATCAGATGTCAAGGAGAGGATGAACTACCTGACTTTTAGAAGACACCTGAATGCAACCCTGTTTGGGGAAATTTTTAATGTTTGATGTTTTATTGTGTTTTTAATATCCATCTGGTACGCAGGATGAGACCCTCCCTGCCCGTAGACTGCCTGGCCAGAGTGGTGCATGCTCTGGTTGTCTCCCGCTTGGACTACTGCCATGCGCTCTGCTTGGGGCTCCCTTTGAAGGTGATCCAGAAACTGCAACTAATCCAGAATGTGGCAGCCAGACTGGGTACTGGGAGTGGAGACCACATAACACCAGTCCTGAAAGAGCTACATTTGCTCCCAGACATTTCCAAGCATAATTCAAAGTGTTGGTGCTGACCTTTCAAGCCCTAAATCGCCCAGTAGACCTGAAGGAGTGTCTCCACCCCAGACACTAGGGTCCATCTCCAAGAGCCTTCTGGTGGTTCCCTCCCTGCGAGAAGCAAAGTTACAGGGAACCAACCAAAGGTTGGCAAGGCTTACCGGGCATGGGCCGGATCACTCCCACAGAGATCCTTCATGGGCTGGGCCGGCGCAGCACAACGCCAGAAATCACGTCTGTGCATGCCCAGATGCTGAAAATCGCACCTGCGACGAAGCGATTTTGGTTTCTGGGCATGTAGAGAAGCGATTTCTGGCACCGCAAACATAAAGACCAGGCTTACTAGCCGCTTTGCTTCTCAATATTCTCTGCTTGGCCTCTGCTATTTTCTCCTACCAATAGAAAACCCACTTAAGGACTCTAGACGCGCTCAGATACCCCATAAGGGGAAAAGGAGCAGTTTTTTTCTTATAACAAAAGCATGCAAAGATTCCTCTATTTCCTAAATAACTCGTAGGGAAGTTCTGCCTGGTCCAGCCTCACATTTCTCACATTGCATAACCAGATATTACATCTGGAGATTGTAGAAATTACAAGTGGAAGAGTTTTGGAGCCTGAGCTCGCTCTGTTTCCTCTTCCCTCCTCATTCCTCTTTCCTTTTGTGCTGTCTGCTTGGCCTCTGTTATTTCCTCCTACCGATAGGGAACCCACTTAAGGACTCTATAGGGGCTTTTGGATACCCCATAAGGGGAAAGGAGTGGAGTTTTTGCTTATAACGTTTTGATAATAAACCTGATTTGCAAGCGGTGGTAGTGGAATAATTTCGACTGTAAGATTGTCATGCGATTGATACCTGGTTCTCGGAGGTCTCCACCGGGGGGCGTCCCATCTGGTACAGCATAGCAGTGTAGCAAAGGAGGATGATCAGCAAGGGGAGCAGGTAAACCACGAGGAAATTGTACAGGATGAAGGCCCTCTCGTGAGTGACGGAGGGGAAAGTCTCACTGCAGTAGGTCCGGGGCCCAAACCAGTAGCCTTCGGTCAGCTGGTTGTAGACCAAAACCGGAGTGGAGACGGCGAAAGAACCTGCGGGCGGAAAGGCCAGGGTCCCAAATTCACCCAACGGTTCTGAAGTCTCGGACAGAACCGGTTCGAATCTTAGGTCAATTGGGGCAACGTCCTCCAGCAAAGGATGTTCTGCTGGGATTTGCGGAAAGCAAAATGGACTTCCTGGTCCGATAAGGTGCAATGGGCAATCTATACGGAAGATAGATTGGTATACAGTGGCGCCCTGGTTCTCAAATGCCTTGGTACTCAAACAACTTGGAACCCAAACACTGCAAGCCCGGAAGGAAGTGTTTCAGTTTGCGAACTTTTCCCGGGAAGCCGAACGTGCTCCGTTTTGACTGTTCAGGGAAGTTTTTAATCTGTGATATTTTACTGTATTTTTGGTTTCTATGGAAGCCGCTCAGAGTGGCTGGGGAAACCCAGCCAGATGGGCGGGGTACAAATAATAAATTATTATTATATTATTATTATTATACGCTTCTGATTTGCGTGTTACGCCAAGGTCTGTCTGGTTTTGCTATATACAGTGGTACCTCGGGTTACATACGCATCAGGTTACAGACTCTGCTAACCCAGAAATAGTACTTCAGGTTAAGAACTTTGCTTCAGGATGAGAACAGAAATCGTGCTCCGGCGGCATGGCAGCAGCAGGAGGCCCCATTAGCTAAAGTGGTGCTTCAGGTTAAGAACAGTTTCAGGTTAAGAACAGACCTCCGAAATGAATTAAGTACTTAACCTGAGGTACCACTGTAGTTGTTTTTGTGACTGTGTGCAACCCAGTTCAGCTACCGATGGATGGATTGCAAGTGTGACTGTGGTGCATTGTTCATCGCTTTCATTTTATGGATCGATGGTCTCGTTAGACAACAAAATTTGTGTTAAATTGCTGTTTTAGGGGTTGTTTTTAAAAATCTGCAACGGATTACAGTGGTACCTCGGGTTACAGATGCTTACAGATGCTTCAGGTTACAGACTCTGCTAACCCAGAAATAGTACCTCGGGTTAAGAACTTTGCTTCAGGATGAGAACAGAAATCGCACAGCGGCGGCAGCTGGAGACCCCATTAGCTAAAGTGGTGCTTCAGGTTAAGAACAGCTTCAGGTTAAAAACGGACCTCCAAAACGAACCCAAGGTACCACTGTAATCCATTTTGGTACCTTGGTTGTCAAATTTAATCCGTCCCAGAACCAAAGCGTTCCAAAACCAAGGCGCGCTCTCCCATAGAAAGTCACGCAAAACGGATTAATCCGTTCCAGACTTTTGCCCCGCAGGAGATGGGTGGCGAGGGCACTGGCCAAGGTTCGGGCCGAAGCGAACGGGCAGGGACTTCCCTTTTGTGGAAACCGAGGGGTCCTCCATGCTATGCCCGCCCCCCTACTCACCGACCCAGATGCTGGCGCTGACCGTGGCCGCCACGAAGGGGGTGCGTTGCTGCAGGGCTCGAAGGGGAAAGACGGTTATGTACCAACGGTCAACACTCATAGCGGTCAGGTGATGCATGTGGCTTGCACAGAGACCTGCGAAGCCAAAAAGACAGGGGGTTGGGACTTTGGTTCCCAAATGCCTCGCTTCCCAAAAATCGGACTTGGCTTTGACAGCCCAAGTCTCCATCGAGGGACCCTTAAGTCCGTTATCGGTCAGAGAAAGATTGGACGGTGAAAGGACATTGCTTGCCCAGAGCTGCAAAGATGATAATAATAATAATAATAATAATAATAATAATAATAATAATAATTTATTTATACCCCACCCTCCGCAGCCAGGACCGGTCTCAGGGCAGCTGTTAGATTACCTACGAGGGCAGACTAGCAGATGAAATTATTGGACTATTTTGGGGGGGGGATGAATGAATTCGTATGCCCCACAAATAACCCAGAGATGCATTTTAAATAAAAGGGCACATTCTACTAATGTAAAAACATGCTGATTCCCAGACCCTCTGCGGGCCGGATTGAGAAGACGATTGGGCCAGATCCGGCCCCCGGGCCTTAGTTTGCCTATCCATGGTTTAAAGGTTTTTGGGGGCAGATCGCCCCTGCAAGCAATTGCAAACTCACCTGTTGGATGTAATTGACAAATTTGCACATAAACTCCCCAAATATCCAGCCAGGAAGAGGATAAAGGACAGCCGTGAATGGGACACAGCAGATCAGGAAAATGATATCCGTAACGGCCAGGTTCGCTGTTTGGACAAAGGGAACAATTTGGGAAAAGTTTAGAAGAAGAAGAAAAGATAAATTGAAGGGAGCAACTTCCCTGTAAGGAAAGCGTGGAGGTTTTTTATCATTTAGAGGGAAAGCATGAAATTACGTCGAAAGTGACTAGAGGAAATTTTTCCTCCCTTTCAGAAATGGCTAGCTTAACTGGTAGAATAAGGGACGGATCTACACACAGGGGGTGGGGGAAGAAACGCCATAAATAAGTCAGAAATCAAATCGTCATAACAAAAGAAAAAAACCGCTATGGAAAAACTGCATAGAATTTTTTTTTACTCTCCTGCGCCCTCTGGTGTTGCATGTTTATAACACTGGTTTTTTAACAAAAATCTAATGTAGCTGAGTCCTGGAAGAAAGTCTTTAAAGAAGATTGGGGGGGGACGGACAGTGGAACATTTGAAAAAATTATTGTCAGCGACTTGACACGTTAGCAGGGCGAGAATAAATTTAGGGGCAAAATCATCAACGGAGGGGAAATGGGAAGAGGAAGAATAAGGAATACAGTGGTGCCTCGCAAGACGAAATTAATTCGTTCCACAAGTTTTTTCTTTCTTGCGAGTTTTTCGTCTTGCGAAGCACGGTTTCCCATAGGAATGCATTGAAAATCAATTAATGTGTTCCTATGGAAACCGCTTGCCAGGCTGGCGGTGCAGAGAAGGGCTTTTCTCCCCACCGCAAGCCTTCAGCACAGGTACGGGAACAGAGGGAAGGCGCGCAGCGCTTTTCCTCTGTTCCCGGGGCTTGCGGTGGGAGGAGGGTTTTCCTCCCCACCGCCAACATTCAGAACAGCATTCTGAATGTTGGCGGTGGGAAGGAAAACCCTTCTCCCACCCCAAGTCTTCAGGACAGCATCCAAAGGCTGGCGCGGGGAGAAGGTCTCTCCACCCCCCCCCCCGCCAGGCTTCGGAGCAGCCTTCAGAGGCTGCTGCCATAGTCAAGCGTCACTTCTCCAGCTGGGAGAGGGTCGCGGGGGGCTGCTTTAGCCCCGCGCGTGCTCTCCCGGCTGGAGAGGTGACGCGCGCCTATGGCAGGAGCCGCGGGGGGCTTTTTAAAATGCTGGCGGGCGACAGCGGAGGCGCTTCCCCCCTGTCCCGGAGATTTCCCTATGGGCTTTCGTCTTGCGAAGGAAGCCCATAGGGAACTTCGTCTTGCGAAGCGCCTCCAAAACGGAAAACCCTTTCGTCTAGCGGGTTTCCGTCTTGCGAGGCGTTCGTCTTGCGGGGTACCACTGTAATTAGAATATGCGGCAGTAAAGGGAAAATTGAAATGAACCATGGAAGGGGGAAGGGAAGTTGATGGTTGGTTTGTTTTCGTTTGAAAATGATAAATAAAATTTTTATATAAGTTTTTCTCCCTTTCTAATAACACCAGGAATCGTGGGCCCTATCCTATAAGTGTGGGATGTGAAACACAAGAGCAGTCAAGTACAACATTCCTAGAGTGAACATGCTTAGACATGGGGAGGGATGTTTGTCCAGCCAGCAGGTAAACTTCCTGTTTCCTTCTGGGCTGGGACAGACTTCCTCTACATGTGACTAGAGGTGGGTGTGGCCTCACCTGTGCAGGTAATTATAAAAGCACAAGGCAGGGGAGCCATCTCTCTCTCTTTCACCACATGCATTGAAGAAGCAACATCTACTGAGCGAAAGATGCCCTCTTGGCTCCCAGCCCAGAGAGGACAAAGGGACTATCTTCCTATAAGATAGACTCCAAATGTATGTTACTTCATTAAGCTTAAGTCTGCCTTCTGGGATCTGATTGTGAACAGAATGTGAGTAAACTCTTTTTATACTTTTGTAAAAGACTGTGTCGTCTCTTCTGTTTTATGAGGGAATAAGGGGAAATTATAGTTATTATAGAGGCTTTAGTGAGCCTTGGCAAACGCTGCCGTTGCAAACTTAAAATAAAGGGGAGTGTATTACTCTGCTGAAATTGGGGAACTTGTTAACACAAGTCGGATAAGGATATAATCAGACAATATATCCTCTCCTGCATCCCTGAACATTCCCACAATAGGTAAAGGTAAAGGTAAAGGTACCCCTGCCCGTACGGGCTAGTCTTGCCAGACTCTAGGGTTGTGCGCCCATCTCACTCTATAGGCCGTGGGCCAGCGCTGTCCGGAGACACTTCCGGGTCACGTGGCCAGCGTGACATCGCTGCTCTGGCGAGCCAGAGCCGCACACGGAAACACCGTTTACCTTCCCGCTTGTAAGCGGTCCCTATTTATCTACTTGCACCCGGGGGTGCTTTCGAACTGCTAGGTTGGCAGGCGCTGGGACCGAACGACGGGAGCGCACCCCGCCGCGGGGATTCGAACCGCCGACCTTTCGATCGGCAAGCCCTAGGCGCTGAGGCTTTTACCCACAGCGCCACCCGCGTCCCATTCCCACAATAAGAACATCCCAAAAGAGCATAAGAACTGCCTGGCCCCTTTTCTCCCAGCGGCCGACCAGATGCTTTTTGGAAACCTGCAATCAGGATTTGAACCCAGGACATTACTGCTCCTGACCGTGGATGCAGAGCAGAGCGGTCCTGGCTAGCAGCAAACAGAACAGGCATCAGCTAGTAGCCCTAGCAGCTTTGACCCTCCTTCCCACCCATCCAGGTGCCTCCATTATTCTCACCAAACTCACCAATGTAGAAATTGGTCGCCGTCCTCATCTGCTTTTGCTTGGCTAGGACGTAGATCACGAGGGAGTTGCCCGCCAGACCCACCACCATCAGGACGGCGAAGAAGAGGGGCACCAGCCACGCGTCCACCAATCGCGGCGGGCTCCGGGGCTCCGAGACATTGGCACACCACAGCCCTGTGGTGCACGCCGAGCTGTTTGGGAACAGGAAGGAATCGTTGAAGTCGGAGACGGATGAGCCCACTAGCATGGCTCTGCTTTTCGTCGAGAGCAGCCTCTGCTGGCCAGGAGCACCGAATTGGGGCTTGGGACGTCCTTTGGCAAGAGTTTTCAGCACCTCAGACAGCTCAGCAAGCGAGAGAGATGTTGCGCCACTCCTCAAATGGGAATCTAGGAAACTCTGGCAGACTCAGGGCTGAGGGACCCCGAATTGGGGCTTGGGACGTCCTTTGGCAAGAGTTTTCAGCACCTCAGACAGCTCAGCAAGCGAGAGAGATGTTGCGCCGCTCCTCAAATGGGAATCTAGGAAACTCTGGCAGACTCAGGGCTGAGGGACCCCGAATTGGGGCTTGGGACGTCCTTTGGCCAGAGTTTTCAGCACCTTGGACAGCTCACCAAGCGAGAGAGATGTTGCGCCGCTCCTCAAATGGGAATCCAGGAAACTCTGGCGGACTCAGGGGCTGAGGGACACGTTGCAGATCTCGTCCTGGCTTGGCGTCCTCCTAAGAGGAGCCAATCCGGTGACAGTTACGACTCTCTCCTCCCCTGAAGTCTCAGAAGGAGACCTGCATCTCTCTGACTCCAGAGTCCTCCTTGCACATTATTTGCAGTGCCCTCTGCTTCTCAGGTTCCTTGCAGAATGCAGGGTGCTCTCCTGAAACTCAATGAGGACCAGGAACACACAAGGGACCAGTTCTCGGGCACAAAGTTGGCATCCGTCAGCAACACATGCCATCAAACGGGCACGCTCCTTTCAGAGTAGAGGGCTCTTATTCCGTCGCAGAGGAAATCTTGGGACGCAGGAATGGTGCTCCCATCTGAATGGGTTGCCGGCCCAACCATCCAGCCACCTGGGACCACCGCCCAGCTCCGAAAGGACCCAGGCGTCCTGCGAGTTGGAAAAAGCCAGGAGGAAAGAAGGGCTGGCCGGTTTTAAGTGGCAGAGCGATTGCTCCCCTCCTGCTCTTTGCAAAAGCAGAATTTCTCCTCTCGGGTCTCCAAGCAGGCGATTGGCTGATTGTTCTATTTTTCCTCTCTCTTTCTCCTCCTGGGGAGGGGGAGACCTTGCTACCAGGCAACCCCCTTTGGAGAGGACTCGACTGGTGGGCTAATTCAGCAGGCATGGAAGGCATGAAATTATTATGCCACGTGCAGATAGAGAGACAGAGATGGAAGGCACATTTCATTTTGCTCTTCGTTCCGGCTTTGCAGACAAAGCGCACCAGATCCAGGAAAATCCACGTGCGAATTTTTTCCCCCAGAGTAAACTCTATGTATTTATAGATAATTTTTTTTTAATTTTAACATATAAATTATAGTACAAACCACAAAATTTCGCCACCTATACAATCTTTTTTTGGGACTTCCATCAGCACCTCTGATGATCCACCGTTTTAACCACTTCTTATGCATGTCTTAACTTCATATTGCCTTTAATTATCATAGCTAATCATCCTCCCCTATATCCATTTTTGCAATAGTTCCAATAATTCTCCTCACAAAACTTCTTGCAAACCTACAAACGTGGTCTGATCATCACAATTACTTTTCAAATAGTTTGTAAATTTACGCCAGTCTTCTGAGAATCTCTGGTCCCGCAGATTTCGAATCCTTCCTGTTAGTTTATCTAATTCTGCAGAGTCCATTAATTTCATCCTCCATTCTTCTTTCATCGGTAATTCTTCTTGCTTCCATTTTTGTGCCAATAATATTCTTGCTGCTGTTGTTGCGTACAAAAACAACTTACATTCTTTTCTGTTTATATCACTTGAAATTCCACGTGCCGATTAATGACTTTTCTCCCAAGTTTGAAAGCAAGCCCAAGTTCGCGAAAATGAAGCCCCGCACGTTCTCTGTTTTCGACGTAAACGGGCAAATCCCTTTTGGCGTTTAGATTCAAAGCCAGCTGGGAAAAGCTCTCTCTGCGACAGTCAAGTTTCATTCAAGTTCGCTGCCATAGAAGCAGAAAGCACATTTGCGAAAAACGCAGAAGAAATGGCGTCGGCCCAAGACAGGGGCAAACCCTGAGGACTCGAACAGAAAAAGATTTAAACTATTTCTTTAGTTTTGAGCAGCTCTTAATATTTAGCACGGTTGTGATTCCGAAAGGCCTTCCTTGATATGTGTAGCTGAATGCAAAGGAAGCTAATAACCTCATCTGCACAATGTATTTAAAATCAGAGTTATGCCCAGGGCCAGATTTAGGTTTGATGTGGCCCTCAGGTCTTGAAGGTAATGGGGCCCTTTCTATGTCCAGCTGTCCTTTGTCAACTACAAATTGCTGCTGTTTTTTGTGTTGAATATATGCTATATGGTCATTTATGGACCTCATAGGTATCTCAAGCCATTATGGATCATTTCCCAATATTCTTTTACGCCTTTCCGTCTCATCTCTTGGCCTTGTCTGTGTTTACAGCGGGAAATATTCATGAAATATTCTTTCCACAAGGGCCAACATTGATGCCGAAATCCAGCATCGTATGATCTCTGCGAGTGTGGCTTTCTCCTGACTGAAGCACAGAGTGTTTGAGGACCGGGACATTCCCAGGGAAACCAAAATGCTTGTTTACAAAGCTATTGTACTACCAAACTTACTGTGTGCTTGGGAAACATGGACCACTTATAAACACCATCTCCAACTCCTTGAAAGTATCCATCAATGGTGTCTCCAAAAAATATTACACATCACTTGGGAAGACAGGTGAACTAATACCAGTGTACTAGAAGAAGCAAAGATCTCCAGTGTCGAAGCGATACTTCAACATCAGCTTCGTTGGACTGGTCATGTTGTGCGGATGCCTGATGATCGTCTTCCAAAGCGACTCCTCTATTCCGAACTTAAAAATGGAAAGCGTAATGCTGGTGGTCAACAAAAGAGGTTCAAAGGCTCTCTCAAGGCAAATCTTTAAAAATGTAGTATAAACACCGACAACTGGGAAACACTGGCCTGCGAACGCTCCAGTTGGAGAACAGCCTTTCCCAAAGGTGTCCTGGGCTTTGAAGACACTCGAACTCAGGACAAGAGGGAGAAACGTGCTAAGAGGAAGGCATGCTTGGCAAACCCTCGCCATGATCAACTCCCACCCGGAAACCAATGTCCCCACTGTGGAAGGACATGTGGATCCAGAATTGGCCTCCACAGTCCCTTACGGACTCGCTGTTAAAACACGTGTTCATGGAAGTCAATTTTACTCGGCTATGAGGGGTCGCCGAAGGAGAAGCATAACGAATCATTCTCAGCCAATGCAGCTTTCTGCCTAAACACCGTGAAGAAGGAGGCGTGTTTGCTGCTTCCAGGTGCTTGAAAACACTTCAACTTTTGTCTCGGGTGCACACTGACCCGAAGGGAAGAGAGGGCATGCGAGAACAGCACTTACGCAGAGCGCTAAGTGCCAAAACGCAGCCAGAATTGACTCTCTCCCTTGCTCCCAAAGTGGTTGAAAATTGGAGCATCATCACGCGAAGGTCTTTGTTCCGAGAAAACGAAAACACACGATAATTTATTTCACCGCTGCCAGGAAAAAAGCTTAGCATCTGTGCTCCAAAGGTGCCAATTTTAGTACGTATCTCCGTTTTCCATTCCTCGCCCCCCCCCCCAACTTTAAAGGTTGCTTCCTGTTGGATTTCTGTCTGCGGCTTGGAAATACGAGCCTCCCCCCCCCAACCTCCCCAACGAGTCCCCTTTCTGCATTTAAGAAAAGCAATCCTGCAACACAGCTCTTAGAAGCATGATTTATTATTATTTACACGAAAAACATCTTACACGGAACGACGTTTTGTTCTTCTGGAAAATGCAAAGTTGGTTTGTACATTCGGCAGAAGGAAGGTCTCTGCGCCGTTGCAGTGCAAGGAAAGTGTGTATTGGGGGGTGTATTTTGTGTTCAAATGCCCCCCCCAATTCTTCTTGCATGTGGAAAATTAGAAAGGTTGGGCAGTGGTTTCCTTGGCAGATTAGATTTCTGCAGGAAGGGAGTTTTTCCCCAAATAGGGGGAGCTTGCAAACTTGCAAACACCCCCCAGCCTAAGTATATTTCAGGGGAAAATGTGTTTCCTCTGACTAAGGGTCAAGTTAACCCCACAAATTTGGCTGCCCTCCCACAAAATCCCACTGTTTTGACACCATCGTGGCAACACAAGAGGAATAAAAGATCCTTTCCAAGAAAAAACCCCAGAAATTGTGGCATCGTCTCGGAAAAAGTCTGAAAAATCACAATAAGTGCAACAACTTCTCAATAAGAACATCTGCAAAGGGACATTGCGGATCATCATAAAACCACACACACACTCACACAAAAACTCAACTTTGGTATATTTTTCTGAGCATGCAACAATCAAAATAAAAATCCACATGTGATCAGTAGCCGGAGGGAAAGGGCAATAATTTAACTGATTTATAAGACCCTCTATTTCCCGATGATTCCTAGTTGGAAGGGCCCCTCAAAGGTCATCCAGACCAACCCCGTGCAATGCAGAAATCTCGGCTCATATCTTTTATTGATCACCACTGGTTGAAGCCTAGGCTCCCCAAGGTCAGAAATCGATCCCCTGTACAGATAGGAATTCAAACTAGCATGTGAAGGGCAGACCAGTATATCAGACAGAGATGCAGCAGGAAGCCTCCTCCAGGTTCGCCCTTTTTACAGGATCCAAATAATCCCGCCTGTATTATTTTATTAATTTATTCAATTAATGATGACCCTTGGGACTGATATCCTGGGAGGTTCCCTGTCACCCCCCTGCCTGTATTATTTTATTTTATTAATTTATTCAATTAATGGTGGCCCTCGGGGCTGATATCCTGGGAGGAGGTTCCCTGTCGCCCCCCTGCCTGAATTATTTTTATTTTATTAATTTATTCAATTAATTATGACTTGATATCCCAGGAGGAGGTTCCCTGTTGCCCCCCTGCCCGTATTATTTTTTATTTTATTAATTTATTTTATTTTATTAATTTATTCAATTAATGGTGACCCTCCGGCCTGATATCCTGGGAGGAGGTTCCCTGTCGCCCCCTGCCTGAATTATTATTTTTATTTTATTAATTTATTCAATTAGTGGTGACCCTCCGGGTCCCTTCCAACTCCACAATTCTACGGTTCTAACAATCGAAAGACCACAGGTTTCCCTGCCCTGCCCTATGAAGGGAAAGGAATCTGTTCCCGAGGAGCAAGCTCGGCTAAATTCCTTTTTGAGGTCTAGTAACTTGCGTAGACTTCTTTGGAACCGGCGGCGATGCACGTTTCAATTTAATTTAATATTTTAAAAAACTCGCTTTATGGCACGAAAGAGCAAATTGGGGAAAACCAAACGAACAGACCAGCGGCTAAGAAGATGGGATAATTATTATTATTATTATTATTATTATTTTGCCAGGGTCATTTCATCAGTAGATAGCAATTTGGGGGGAAACCGAAAACAAAATCCGAATCCATTGGCCATAAAATGTACGGATACACACCTATTATCTTTAAAAATACACTATATTACATTTTACAAAACGCAGGCTGGCTTCTGACAACTTGGGAGGTGGAAGGGGAAACCTGCAATTGTCATTCATACATTTAGAAAATGAGGCAGTTCGGCTGAGAACGGATGGCTGCTGTGTGTGGGTGGTTTTTTTTAGGGGGGGGTGTAGTTTGGCTACAGTCACAATACGACCCGACCCCCAAATTCAGAGAAATTCGGATTACGAATCGAAGCACCATTAAGGCCAGTTAGAACACTTTTTCCTCCTAAAGGTGTTTGCGGGAGGGACCCCAATTTCCAAGAGGCATTGTCCCCGTCCCCCCGCCATCCCATAATAAAAGAGCGTTGCGACAGAAACAAACGAAGCCCGTTGAAACTGAGAGGGAGAACCTCCAGTCCCAAGAGCAGTCTACCTCTGCCCAGAAGCCAGATCGGATTGGCTGTTTCCTGGCACGACACCCCCCCCCCCGCGAGGCGGACCCGATCCTCTGCCGAACTTGAAAAAAAGGGTCTTGCGCACCCCCCAAAATTTATTCAGAATTCAAGGCGCTTGTGGGTAAACCCCAATTTTGCCGCTTTAAAATCGAGCCGAGCCAAAGCTGAAGCCAGCCGTTATAACGCCAGCTCTATAAAATTTGCTTTCCAAAAACCAGGGATATATATATATATATAAATAGATAGTTGTCTCCAGGAGGTCAGAACGGCGACTGCAAAAAACGACCGATAGGAGAGCCCTTGCAGTTCTTTCGAGAAAGCTCACGGGAGAGAGGAAAGCTTTTCCCGAAAAAGCAAAAAGCGAAGGATTTCCCTTTTGTCGCACTGCAAAAATGCAAACTAAAAAAAAACACATGACTGCGTCAAATTGGGTCAGAGAAATCGCCCCTTTTCAAATTCTCCAAATTTGAGATGCGATACTTCTATTTGCGGGGGGAGGAATTGTAGCCCATTCGCACTGAGCCATTTATAAATCCCAGTTTTTTTTCAAAAAAGGAGGGACCCATTAAAAATATACGTATTTTTATAAATTGCTCGCAGACTAAATCACGGACGGCATTTAAAAATCAAAGGGTTGTTTTGAAAATCAAGCGGCCTGGCCAACTGAGTCGAACAATGCAACGCAACCCTATTTTTGGGGTGTGCGGCCTAAAAAAGTTTTCACCCAGCCCCACCCCACAAACTTTGTGGTCTCCTCTCCCATCAGCCCCAAGCAGCTTCGTTAACTACGAACCCCAAAATCTGGGACCCCTCCTCGAAACTGGTGCCAAAGTTTTGCGGTCCTTTTTTCACGGAGAAGAAACACCCCGCGTTTTGCGGCACCCCCAAAAAACAGAGCGATAGATAGACCCTCAAACTTGGGGATCACCCCCCTAAAACCCCAATGAGTTTAAGGGTCTATGGCTCCGTTTTTGGGGCACTGCGAAACATGGGGCGTTTTCACTGCCAAACGTTTGCCCGAGTCCGGCTATGATGACATTGGGTTTGGGGGTGACCCCGTGACACCCCCCTCCCCGGTTTGTGGGTCTATGGCTGTTTGTGGAGCGCGACAAAAAAGGGGGTTCTCTGCAAAAAAACAAACAAACCAAAACCGACTGCAAAACTTTTGCACCAGTTTTGAGGGGATTCCAATTTTTGGGGTTCGCCATGAACGGAGCTCAGCATGGTCGGGGGGGTGATGGAGTTGTGGGGGGGCTCCCCACATCTAGGACTTCCCAGGCAGAATCGGGGCCCCCAAAATGGGCCGGGGGGCTCCTACTCTGAAGGAGGGGCTGGTAACGAAAGCATCGGCTGGCCTGCATCTTTTGGGTACCCGAGATGGGAGGCGGTTGCTAGGCAACCACAGACAACATCCCTAGCCATGTCTGGTGAGAGATGCCCTCCCCGCCAAAACTCATTTGCCTTTAAATACTTTTTTAAAAAGCCAACGGAAGCAGAAATTTCGAAAGGGGGGGGACGGGTCGGACCCCCGGAAGACGACCCGGAACCTCCATCAACTCATTTGCTCCAGGTAAGTTGAGAGAAGTGGATCTGGAGGCAGGAAGATGGTGTGTTTGTTGCTCACTTTCATCTGTCGTTTTCCTTCGTGGTCAGAACCTGAGACGGATATAATAATCATAATCATAAAATACCAATAACAAACTTAGTTGGTCTCTAAGGTGCTACTGCAAGGAATTTTTTGTTTGCTTGTTTGGTAATAATAATGATGATGATAATAATAATAATTTTTATTTAAACACCTTGAAAAACAGAAGGGCGAGGTGTTCTTATCTAAAAGGAAACAAGCAAATTCATTGGTACCTTGGTTCCCAAAGGCCGCAAACCCAGAAGTGAGTGTTCTGGTTTTCGAACGTTTTTCGGAAGCCGGACGTCCGACGCGGATGTCGGCTACTGTTTCCAGGGCACCTGCGCCAATCAGAAGCCGCGCCTCCGTTTCCGAACATTTCGGAAGTCAAACAGACATCTGGAACGGATTAAGTTTGGCGCTTTTGTTTTTGCTAATTTTTTTTGCGTTTTTGTTTTTGAGGCTTTTTGGTTAATTTGATTTTGTGACTGTGTAGAGCCCAGTTCAGCTACTGATGGATGGACTGTGTGACTGCGGAAATGGATAAAAGCCCCCCCATCCAAACAATGACCATCATCAGTGCAGGTAAGAAATTTTTATTATTATTATTTTCATCATCTACAATACTGCCTTATTTATTTTATAGTACAGCACATTGATTCTTGCTTTCGTTTTATGGATCAATGGTCTCGTTAGATGGCAAAATCCATGTTAAATCGCTGTTCTAGGGGCTGTTTTTACAAGACTGGAACAGATTAATCCGTTTTGCATTCCTTTCTATGGGAAAGCGCTGCCTTGGTTTTGGAACGCTTTGGTTTCGGAACGGACTTCCAGAACGGATTAAGTTTGAGAACCAAGGGACCACTGTAGAATGAAAACCTTAGGAGATATTTTTGGGGGAGTCGGGAGTTGGGCAGGGGCAGAAGGGCTTTGCAATTGCAATTTTTTAAATAAAAAAAGTTATTTTCCACTTATCACTCAGCCACGGAGGCCGCAATGGAAGGCAAAGGCGGATCAGAAGGGACTCGCCCTCTCTGCAAGGGAGAGATAGCCCCGTTCGACACGGGCAAGCAAGTTTCCTCCCAAAATAAATATGAAATAATATCAGAAAGGAGCCCTTACTGGCAGAAGCGAGGTCCATGTATTGGCAGACGGCGTGAAGGAGAAGCCTTTCGAAGCTGTAAGAAAAGAGATCGACAAAACACGTTTTTATAACTTTCTGCAAGTTCTTTTCTTAGGTTCAATTCACAATTCTGGTTCCCAATTCTTTCATAGAATCATAGAATCATAGAGTTGGAATAGGCCACAATGGCCATCGAGTCCAACCCCCTGCCAAGCAGGAAACACTTATTTTCCTGAGAAAATAAATTCCTTCTTTACTTAAATTCACTTAAATTAACACTTAAATTCCTTATTTTCCCAATTCTTTCCTTAGGTTCAATTCACAATTCTGGTTCCCAATTCTTTCCTTATCTTCCCAATTCTTCCCTTATGTTCAATTCCCGTTATGTCGATTGATCGATTCCCTTTACAAAACAATATTATATATACCTTGTCGGAACGGAAGAATTTGCAGCATCACATCCCCCTGCCTGTTTTAAATCATTACTTATTTCTATATTGATTTCTCTTCCTTATCATCTTGCGTTGGGCAACTTCCCCCTCCCTCCAGAAAATTAACTTCCTACTCTCCATCCTATATAATAATAATAATAATAATAATAATAATAATAATAATAATAATTTTTTATTTATATCCTGCCCTTCCCGGTTCAGAAAACCGGGCGCACAACAAATTTAAAACACTTAATTGATGCAACAAAAAAACAGCACGAAATACAGTATAAAACATGAATAACAATAAATTCAGAATTCAAAAATCAATTTAGGGGGAAAACCCATTCAATAAACAATAGCTGGCTGGCTAAATTAGTCCTATTTGGGCCAGCGAGGAGACCAGGGGAGAATTAGCTGTGGGATCCCAGAGCGGGGAATCTTCATAAAAAGGGAAGGAAGGGGGATAAAAGATCAGGCTAAATTCAAATTGAAAGCCAGGAAATTAATAATAATAATAATAATAATAATAATAATAATAATAATAAATTTTATTTATATCCCGCCTCCCCAGCCGAAACCGGGCTCAGGGCGGCTAACAACAATTAAATAATACAACAGGAAATTATTAATAGGAAATATTTTCCATCCTTTATGGATCCTTTACTCTGGATACGTCCGGTTCCCATTTCCCAACAGCTGTTGGCTTTATCAGTACGAAAAAACCCAAAGAAACAACGTTGTGCATCGCCTTCTGTACTACAATTCCCATCCGGCCGTGGCGCCCGGTGCGAGAACCGTTTGGTCACCTGTTGTCCATCATTGCCGTGTAGACGGAACGAGGGCTGGTCGAGAAAAAGGCCAACAGCTCATCTTCGAAGCACTCCAGGGTCCCCTGCGGAGGGAAATAGAAGCAGCGGCAAATAACAACAAAGCCATTTTATTATTTGTACCTCACGCCCAGGCAAAGCTGCAACAGCAAAGGTTCCCAGGCGCTAGTTTCTTCCTCGGCCCCGCGTTCGAAACCTACCATGGGGATACGGCTCCGCTTCAGCGTGGTCCTCAGGCGCCGGCTGATGCGCTGGAAACACTCTTGCGGGGTGTAAGTGGCATGTTCTGCAACGGAAATAGGAGGAAAACAGGTTTGTGGTTTCTGCATTGCGCGGGGTTGAGATGGATGACCCTGCGGTGTCCCTTCCACCTCTGCACTTTGGCGGTTCTAAGGGGAAGAACAGGGGCCAGGAGCTTCTACCTTGTTTAGCTTATATGTAAATTTGGCACTGCCAGGAAGGGCAGGGAGTCTCCCCCCCCCCAGCTGTTGCTCCTGAACAGGGAGCGTTTGAGGGTAGACTGCTCTTGCATATGGAGGTTCGGCTGAAAGCAGAAATCTCTCTAACTCCCTTCAAGAGCAAAGATGTTCTGGAAACGTGAGTTGGGAAGACAGATGTCCACTTGATAGGAAGGAAGGAAGGAGAGAGAGAGAGAGAGAGAGAGAGAGAGAGAGAGAAGGAAGGAAGGAAAAAGAAACCGAGAGAGAAGGAAGGAGAGAGAGAGAAGGAAGGAAGGAAGGAAGGAAGGACAAACAGAGAGAGAAGGAAGGAGAGAGAAAGAGAGAGAAAGAGAGAGAAGGAAGGAAGGAAGGGAGAGAGAGAGAGAGAGAGAGAGAGAGAAGGAAGGAAGGAAGGAAGGAAGGAAGGGAGAGAGAGAGAAGGAAGAGAGAGAGAAAGAGAGAGAGAAGGAAGGAAGGAAGGAAGAGAAAGAGAGAAGGAAGGAAGGAAGGAAGGAAGGAAGGAAGGAAGGAAGGAAGGAAGGAAGGAAAAAGAAACTGAGAGAGAAGGAAAGAAGGAAGGAAGGAGAGAGAAAGAGAAGGAAGGAAGGAAGGAAGGAGAGAGAAAGAGAGAGAAGGAAGGAAGGAAGGAAGGAAGGAAGGAAGGAAGGAAGGAAAAAGAAACTGAGAAGGAAGGAAGGAAGGAAGGAAGGAAGGGAGAGAGAGAGAGACAGAGAAAGAGAGAGAGGGGAGGGAAGGGTTTTTTATGCACCAGAAATGCAAACCAACCCTGCAAGGCAGTCCAGGCCAAACCCTCCATACCTTTCCACTTGACATCTGCTTTTTCGGCCAGTTTGCTCTTCTGCTTCTTCTTCGCCTCCTCTTCCAGGTACAAGAGGACCCGCTCTTGCTCCTCGCCGGAACGGTTCATAAAGTCGTTCCAAATCTTAGCCGAGAGACACACAGACACACAAAAACGAGAGAATCCCATTAACGCACAACCTTCTCTGCCCATCCTGAGTCAAAAAACCAGCGACTGGAGCGGGGGAAAGAGCTGCGTTTCACACGGACGTTAATTTATTTTTATTTTCCCACTGGAAGATCAATCCACTTTCGAGTTGATTAAGTGGGCGGAAAGCCGGAGAACCCAAAGTGTGGTTTGTGCGGGTTCCAAGTGAAACTTAAGACTCTGAATATCAGGGTTTTGTGGGTTTTATCCAGGGTGTGCATAAAAATCCATTATTTTTTTTTTTTAATCGGATTATTTTATTTTTTTAAAAATGCTTTTGCAGGAAAAATCTTTCTAAACGTAGTTTTCTATTTAAGTTAAAGTCCAAAGGAAATAAGGATTTAAGTTTTTCATATGTGCTAAAACTCAGTCTAAGTTGTTTGTTTTTTTAAAATGCTTTTAATAAACACGGATACATATGCTGCAATGTTATTGTTTTTGATTTAAATTGGGTTTTTGGAACGGACTTCCAGAACGGATTAAGTCTGAGAATCAAAGTACCACTGTATTTAAAATAGGGTCTGTGTATTTATTTAAAAATAGGGTTTATGTATTTATTTAGGTTGGCTGAGTTATGAGGAATGAGTTGCAAACTGCACACCAGGAAGAACTTTCTGACAGTAAGAGTTGTTCAATTGTGGGTGGTTTTTAAGAAGGGTTGCAATTGTGCAATTTAAGTCTTTTCGGCAATTGCTCCCTGTAAGGTAACTTGAAATAATTTTGCATTTAAAAAGTCACGAGCAATAAAAACAGCTCACACGATTTGATACATAAGGCGAAACAATTAAAAGATCACTTTTGTACGCAAAAACGTTTTGAGGTTTTGCAGAAACAAGTTGCAATATGTAAAAAAAAAGGTCTCATATCTGATACATGCTATTAAAGCAACAACAACCCTTGTTTAACTCGCACCGTCACTCCCAACTGGAACCCGAGTTCGAAAGACGAATTCCGGACCCGGGTACGGAAAGAAGACTTCGGAATTCAAAATGCAGACTTGTTTATTATTTATACCCTGCCCTTCTGGCTGGACTTCCCCAGCCACTCTGGGCGGCTTCAAATAAAATATTAAAATACTGTGATACATCAAACATTAAAAGCTTCCCTAAACAGGGCTGCCTTCAGATGTCTTCTAAAAGTCTGGTAGTTGTTGTTCTCTTTGACATCTGGTGGGAGGGCGCCACTACTGAGAAGGCCCTCTGCCTGGTTCCCTGTAACCTCGCTTCTTGCAATGAGGGAACCGCCAGAAGGCCCTCGGAGCTGGACCTCAGTGTCCGGGCAGAATGATGGGGGTGGAGACGCTCCTTCAGGTATACTGGGCCATTTAGGACTTTCAAGGTCAGCACCAACACTTTGAATTGTGCTCGGAAACGTCCTGGGAGCCAATGTCGGTCTTTCAGGACCAGGGTTATATGGTCCCGGCGGCCGCTCCCAGTCCCCAGTCTGGCTGCCGCATTCTGGATTAGTTGTAGTTTCCAGATCACCTTCAAAGGGAGCCCCACGGAGAGCACATGGCAGTAGTCCAAGCGGGAGATAACCAGAGCATGCACCACTCTGGCGAGACAGTCTGCAGGCAGGAAGGGTCTCATCCTGCGTACCAGATGGAGCTGCCCTGAACACAGAACTGACCTGCGCCTCCATGGACAGCTGTGATTCCAGAATGACCCCCTGGCTGCGCACCTGTTCCTTCAGGTGCACAGTGACCCCATTCAGGACCAGGGAGTCCTCCACACCTGCCCGCCCCCTGTCCCCCAAAAACAGTCCTTCTGTCTTGAGCTGAGCTGTGCCTCTGAAGGAAGAGAGCTGGAATTTAACGAAAAGAGACCACAACGCGTACCTTGACGTACGTCTCGTTGTTACAGGCTTCGGTGAAGATGCTAGGACTAGCCGGGTGGACGATTTCCCCGTCTTCCCCTGTGCATTCGTCTTGCTCCAGGAGAGTCATCAGATAACGTGCTGGAGGGGGAAAACAGAATTCACGATACACCTCTGCAGGTTAGCAATGGATCCAAGCAACTGTACAAAGCCGAAATCTGCATATATTGTTCCTCCCACTTTTGCAGCTGGCCCCGCCTCCACTGGCCTGCTGCCCCGCCCCCAGAACAGAATTCGGGCCCCCGGCCGGAAAATGCTTCCCCTATCATTATGCACTGGGACGCGGGTGGCGCTGTGGGTTAAACCACAGAGCCTAGGGCTTGCCGATCAGAAGGTCGGCGGTTCGAATCCCCGCAATGACAGGGTGAGCTCCCATTGCTCGGTCCCTGCTCCTGCCCACCTAGCAGTTCGAAAGCATGTCAAAGTGCAAGTAGATCAATAGGTACCGCTCTGGCGGGAACGTAAACGGCGTTTCCGTGCGCTGCTCTGGTTCGCCAGAAGCGGCTTAGTCTTGCTGGCCACATGACCCGGAAGCTGTACGCCGGCTCCCTTGGCCAGTAAAGTGAGATGAGCGCCGCTACCCCAGAGTCAGCCATGACTGGACCTAACGGTCAGGGGTCCCTTTACCTTTACAGTACTATCATTATGCAACACGGCTCAGTTGGCAGAAACACAGAATTGCAGAGGGTCCAAACCTGTGCAATGCAGGAATTGAACCTGCAACCCTAAGATTAGGAGTCCCGGGCTTAAGTGATTGCAGCGGTCTGGGGCTTTTTAGCTTAGAGGAACTGCGAGGAGAGGAGAAGGGACCCCTCCCTGGGGGTCCTGTAGCCCCACCCCATGCAACGCAGGAATCTTTCGCCCAAGGTGAACCTCGAACTCGCATCCTTGAGAATCTTTCGCCCTAGGTGAACCTCGAACTCGCAGCCCTGAGACTCAGGCTCAAGCGATTGCAGCGGCCTGGGGCTTTTTAGCTTAAGGGAGACTCGAACCCGCAACCCGGTGTTTATAACAGCCTCGCGTTCTACGGGCCGAGCTCTCCCCGACTCAGAACAGGTCGGTCCAGGGTTCGAGCTCCGCGGGTTCGACTAGATGACCCCCGGGTCCCTCGCGACTCTTCTGCGATCCCGCTGGGCAAAAGCGCCCCCAACCCGGAACTCAACTGTTCTCAAGGCGCTGCAGGCTCTTGCGCCCTTTGGCCCGGGGGATGAGATCCGAATTTCGTATGGCTTGGTTGATGTAGTACTGCTTTCGCTTCGCCGGGGAAAACCTCTTTGCGGTGGGGCTGGCCAGCGGCGGCAAGCAATCCTCGATCCTTCTGCAAAAAGGAGAAGCGAAGCGTTTTTATAAAACCAGCAGGCTCTCTGCAGCCGTGACCCACATAAAATAAACGAGTCCCCAAACTTGAGATCTGCATCGATCCATTTTTATCAACCCAAAGTGCAGAAATAATCCGATTTATTGCAAACAAGCATCTTATTCTAGGAGCGAGTTCCACCTTGCCAAACACACTGAGCTCAGGTGATTCAGCCTTTTTTAGGAACACAAACAAACAACTTTGCAAATAAGAAGCGCAACCGGTTTGACTACCAGCCTGAAGCGGGAACCTCGTCAAAGGAGAGCACAGCCGTACCCAGCCTCACGGACGCTTCGAGCCGATATTTGGGGACCCTTCCAACTCTGCAAACCGAGACAGCATCTTAAAAAGCAGAGACATCACCTTGCCAACAAAGGTCCGTATAGTTCAAGCTATGGTTTTCCCAGGAGTGATGTATGGAAGTGAGAGCTGGACCATCAAGAAGGCTGATGGCCGGAGAATGGATGCTTTTGAATTCTGGTGCTGGAGGAGACTCTTGAGAGTCCCATGCACTGCAAGAAGATCAAACCTCTCCATTCGGAAGGAAATCAGCCCTGAGTGCTCACTGGAAGGACAGATCCTGAAGCTGAGGCTCCAAGACTTTGGCCACCTCATGAGAAGAGAAGACTCCCTGGAAAAGACCCTGATGTTGGGAAAGATGGAGGGCACAAGGAGAAGGGGACGACGGAGGACGAGATGGTGGGACAGTGTTCTCGAAGGTGCCAGCATGAGTTTGACCAAACTGCGGGAGGCAGTGGAAGACAGGAGTGCCTGGCATGCTCTGGTCCAGGGGGTCACGAAGAGGCGGACACGACTAAACGACTAAACTACAACAACCAACTCTGCAATTTCTATGGACAAAAATCAGGTTTGCAGAATTTACAGCTCTCGTGGCAGTCCAATAGATGCCGCAAAGCTCTCCCCCAAAACTGGCATTTACAGGTATTTTAAAGGCTCTGACAGCTGACGTCATTCAAGGAAGTTTATTCTCAGAGATGAGTAAGCGAGGCAGGTCATGTTTTCCCAGATACATTGTGTATGTGTGTTTGTGTTTGTGTTACCTAACAACCCACATCATCTCTGATGAAACCATGGCAAAAGGCTGCCTGCAACGTACCGTCTTCCCAGCGGAACTACCCGCCACAAGAGACGGTTTCAGTACCTTTTAGACCAGGCAATGAGGAAGGGCTCCTTCTGCCAAGCTGAACCTCCAGCTCTGAGGCGCCGTCAAAACGTCTGGTAAGCCAAACCGGCCGGGTGTGCGGGTGTGTTTGCACGTTGCGTCCCACACACCAAGCTCACTATTTCCCCAGGGGTTGTTGTTGTTGTTGTTTAGTCGTTTCGTCATGTCCGCCTCTTCGTGACCCCCTGGACCAGAGCATGCCAGGCCCTCCTGTCTTCCACTGCCTCCTGCAGTTTGGTCAGACTCATGCTGGTCGCTTTGAGAACACTCTCCCACCATCTCGTCCTCTGCCGTCCCCTTCTCCTTGTGCCCTCCATCTTTCCCAGCATCAGGGTCTTTTCCAGGGAGTCTTCTCTTCTCCTGAGGTGGCCAAAGTCTTCAGGATCTGTCCTTCCCGTGAGCACTCAGGGCTGATTTCCTTCCGAATGGAGAGGTTGGATCTTCTTGCAGTCCATGGGACTCTCAAGAGTCTCCTCCAGCACCAGAATTCAGAAGCATCCATTCTTTGGCCATCAGCCTTCTTTATGGTCCAGCTCTCACTTCCATACATCACTACCGGGAAAACCATGGCTTGAACTATACGGACCTTTGTTGGCAAGGTGATGTCTCTGCTTTTTAAGATGCTGTCTAGGTTTGTCATTGCTTTTCTCCCAAGAAGCAGCCGTCTTTTAATTTCATGACTACTGTCACCATCTGCAGTGATCGTGGAGCCCAAGAAAGTAAAATCTCTCACTGCCTCCACTTCTTCCCCTTCTATTTGCCAGGAGGTGATGGGGTGCCCTTCTCCAAATCAGGAACCCCCAAACGGGGTCTGATCCGGCAGAGCTCTCCGCACCCCGATTTCCTGAGTTGTGCCGCCGCAATGGAACCTCCAGTTACAGGAGAAGTCTATCTTAGAGGATGGATCAACTTCCTTCCTCCCAGAAGGAAACAGCTGTTGCATTTCCTTGTTTGCTTGCAAGCTTCTTGCAAAGGTTGCTGAACCCACCCTGCTTTTATCATTTTAAAGAAATCAATTCCTTTTTTCCAAATAATAGCCACAGATATTCAGTGGCAAGGCTGCCCCCCTTACTCACCCATAGGGCTGGTTTAGGGGGGCTCCTGGTTGCTCCTCCTGGACGCCTCCTCTTGTTGCTCCAGGATCTGTCCCCTTCAGCACCACCATGGCTCGCCCGGATTGCAACCCCAACCCTGCAAGATCCTGATGCCGGGGACCCGGATACCACCCCAGGTTTTTGCAAAGGCACCCGCCCCGGCCGCCTCCCCGGCTGCACCGCCCCAGGAAGACGCGTCAGCACCGGGGGGAGCAAAGGGCTGGAGGAGGAGGAGGAGGAAGAGGCGGCGCTACGGGCCGGGAGGGAGTTCAGCCTCCCTTGCAAAAAAGCCAAAGCTGATGCAACGGTCGCTGCCGCCTTTGCAAGACGCAGTTTGCTCCGGGCTTTGCAGGGCGCGGCGCTGCACGGCATGGGTTTGCGTGGCGTTGCGTTGCATTGCAACCCTTGAGAGTTTTGCCATTTGCATTGGACGGAGAGTGTGTTTGCATTGCATGGAGCGTGTGTGTGCCTTGCACCGAGTGTGTGTTTGCATTGCACGGACTGTATGGTTGCATTGCACGGAGTGTGCCTTGCACAGAGTGTGTGTGCATTGCATGGAGTGTGTGTGTTTGCATTGAACAGTGTGTGTGTGTGTGCCTTGCACCGAGTGTGTGTGCCTCGCACCGAGTGTGTGTTTGTGTTGCACGAACTGTATGGTTGCATTGCACGGAGTGTGTGCCTTGCACGGAGTGTGTGCCTTGCACAGAGTGCGCATTGCACGGAGTGTGTGCCTTGCACTGAGTGTGTGCCTTGCACGGAGTGCGTGTGAGTTCACATTGCATTGCAAAGGGCTTTTTTGGCATTCCACTGCAAGTTGTGTGTGCTTGTGTGCTGGACACACTGCAATAGATCTCTGTAGGCTTAGCCTAGTCCATGCCAGGGAATCGTAGGCCCGCGTCCTCAGATCCAGAGAGAGAGTAAAAGAAAAAACACCAGGAAAGATCCTTCTTTGGAGGAAAGCAGTTTTATTCTCTGTGCACAGGAGACAGCCAGCAGAATAATTTCTGGAAGACTGACTGCCCCGAAAATACGCCTCTGCCGACTTTCTTATACCTTGAGTAGGCTCTCTCCCTCCTCCCCACACCCTCCAGAAACTTCCCCAATCAACTGGAAAGTTTTCAACTTATTTTTAGCATGTCTATAGCCCTCTAAACAGCCCTCCCTATTGTTCCCTATAGTGTCTTTCTAAGCGTCCTGCATCCCCTCGTCCTGCCTCCTCCTCCCGTCTCCCCATATGTGTCCTTTTTTATCTTGCATTCCTAAGGTAAGAAAGCGAGGCTATTCTGCAGGTCTGGCCGTCTCTAGCCTCTGTCTTATCTTGCATTCCTTCGAGGGGCCTTTTTTGCAGGTGAAGTTATTTCTAGCTCAGAAATTGACTTAGATCCAAGGTATAGAAGAATATGAAGATCCTTCTTAGGCAAAGGTACAAAATATAGAAAGCAAAGGTACAAAATATAGAAAGCAAAGGTACAACATATAGAAAGCAACCTTTCCCTCTCCCTTCATCTCCAGTTGTGGCTACTGCGAGGACCTCCAGATGTTGCTGTCCTCCTACCTCCCAATCCCCAGCCCCTTAGCCAGCATGCCCAATGGTCAGGGGCGAGGGGAGTTATAATTCAGCCCTGTTGGGTCTCCCTACCCCCAGCATGCACAAAGATCAGGGCTGGATGGGAGTCCAGCAACCTCTTGCAAGACCCCTGCTTCCCCATCCCTGCACCCCAGTTGCTCCACCTACAAAGGAAACTCCTTGTTGCGCCTCTGCATGAGTGCCTGCTCTGTCTTGCATTAGGACTGACAGCCCCAACCATAGGAGAGGTGACGACAGCAGCCTTCATTTGCATACTGCCCTCCCCACAATTCAATGCGGTTGGACACCATCAGGAATTCACCGTGCTTCACATCTGCGTCGGAAATAAAGCGCCAAGTGATCTTTCGGAAGCGAGAAGAAGATTTAAAAATAAGAATAAACGAAAGATTTGGTTAATCAATAAAAATGGGGGGAAAGGGCAACCCATCTTTGTTCACCATAAGGTGAAAGTCCTCTGTATTGAAGCCTTTAAATACCAGATGGAGCAGTGGTAGGTTTGTGCTCGCTTCGGCAGCACATATACTAAAATTGGAACGATACAGAGAAGATTAGCATGGCCCCTGCGCAAGGATGACACGCAAATTCGTGAAGCGTTCCATATTTTGATGCAATCCTTTATTACTTTTCTTGCACGGCATCCTCAGGTTGCCAAAGACACGCCTTTTCCCCTTCCTCTCCCCCTCACCCTTCACTTTGCAAACTCCACATTACTTGCAACCCCTTTGGCATCCCTCTTTACCCCCCCCCAAAAAACCCTTTCCAAAAATGCCAGCTGATTGCAACGTGGCTATTGCACCCCAATAATGATATATTAATGCATGCATGCAGCAATTGATGCAATAATATGCATGCATGTTCAAGACCAGCAAAGCAGACTGTGCTGTTATTTATTGTTTCCCTCCTTTTTTGTCTTTTGTCTCTCCTCCGGTTTGCAAATCCCACACCGCTCCCCCCAAAACAGAACATTTTAATGAGTCATGCATGCTCCTATCTTTGCTTTCCAGCAATGCAGAACCGTGTGATCTGGGTACAGGCTCAGAGGAGACCTGTTGAAACCTCCGGAGGTTTTTTTTTGCACGCTCTCCAAATCACCCTCCAGTTTGCAAACCTCCTAATGATTCACCACCGTTTGCATTTTCATGCATCACCCAAAGGCTCTTTTTAAATACTTGCCATTTAAGGGGTGACAATTGCGCCTTGACTATGCATGGGGCTGCATTAAGACCAGCAAAACATACTATTATTTATGGTTTGATTGCAACGTGGGCCCCATAATCTCACCTTTTGGGAAATTAGGACGTCCCTGAAGGGTTTTGAACAAAGGATGAAGCAATAAATAATATTAGGTTTTGCTGGTCTTAATGCAGCCCCATGCGAAAGGCTGGGCTGGATGAATCCCTAGCCGGAATTAAGATTGCTGGAAGAAATATCAACAACCTCAGATATGCAGATGACACAACATTGATGGCAGAAAGTGAGGAAGAATTAAAGAACCTTGTTGTTGTTGTTGAGTCGTTTAGTCGTGTCCGCCTCTTGGTGACCCCCTGGACTTGCGCACGCCAGGCCCTCGTGTTTTCCACTGCCTCCCCCAGTTTGGTCAAACTCATGCTGGTCACTTCGAGAACACTGTCCCACCATGGCTTTAACTATACGAGGGTGAAAGAGGAGAGCGCAAAATATGGTCTGAAGCTCAACATAAAAAAACATGAAGATCATGGCCACTGGGCCCATCACCTCCTGGCAAATAGAAGGGGAAGAAATGGAGGCAGTGAGAGATTTCACTTTCTTGGGCTCCATGATCACTGCGGATGGTGACAGCAGCCACGAAATTAAAAGACGTCTGCTTCTTGGGAGAAAAGCAATGACAAACCTAGACAGCATCTTAAAAAGCAGAGACATCACCTTGCCGACAAAGGTCCGTATGGTAAAGCTATGGTTTTCCCGGTAGTGATGTATGGAAGTGAGAGCTGGACCATAAAGAAGGCTGATTGCTGGAGAATGGGTGCTTTTGAATTATGGTCTGGAGGAGACTCTTGAGAGTCCCATGGACTGCAAGAAGATCAAACCTATCCATTTGGAAGGAATTCAGCCCTGAGTGCTCACTGGAAGGACAGATCCTGAAGCTGAGGCTCCAAGACTTTGGCCACCTCATGAGAAGAGAAGACTCCCTGGAAAAGACCCTGATGTTGGGAAAGATGGAGGGCACAAGGAGAAGGGGACGACGGAGGACAAGATGGTTGGGACAGTGTTCTTGAAGCTACCAGCATGAGTTTGACCAAACTGCGGGAGGCAGTGGAAGACAGGAGTGCCTGGCGTGCTCTGGTCCAGGGGGTCACGAAGAGGCGGACACGACTAAACAACAACAACAACTGCTTTGCTGGTCTTGAACATGCATGCATATTATTGCATCAATTGCTGCATGCATGCATTAATATATCATTATTGGGGTGCAATAGCCACGTTGCAATCAGCTGGCATTTTTGGAAAGAGGGTTTTTGGGGGGGGGTAAAGAGGGATGCCAAAGGGGTTGCAAGTAATGTGGAGTTTGCAAAGTGAAGGGTGAGGGGGCAGAGGAAGCCAAAAAGGCGTGTCTTTGGCAACCTGAGGATGCCGTGCAAGAAAAGTAATAAAGGATTGCATCAAAATATGGAACGCTTCACGAATTTGCGTGTCATCCTTGCGCAGGGGCCATGCTAATCTTCTCTGTATCGTTCCAATTTTAGTATATGTGCTGCCGAAGCGAGCACAAATCTACCCTGTACCGCAGCCGTATATAAACCTCTGATTTGAAAATATTTCCAAGTCATGGTATAAAAATGTTAGCTTCGTTCTTTCCTGTGTTTGCTCCTCTTATTCTGTTTCAAACCCCCACCAAGCTACCCCTTAGTCTCCTCCACCTTCTCAAATTAATCCATCCTATTTCTTTTAATTTCCCGCACCCCGATGCATGCTGGGAGGCCGCCTATGCAAATATGACCCCTCCTCAGGCTTTTCCTATTGAACAGGCGAGAGGCGGGTTGAGAGAGAGGCCCTCGCTTTGTCTATTGAAATGCCTGAAAAGAAAAGGGGAGATTTGACTCGCCCCACTGAAACGAGCCCGTTTGGACAGAAGAGGGAAGGGATGCGTGTGGTTGCCGTGCGGTTTTTAAAATTATTTTATTTTTGTTGTTTTTTTCAGGCACTCCTGAAGACAGCTGCGAGGAAGGGGTCCTTAACTAGGGCAGCAGGAGTTGGCGCAGGCGCAGAGCAGCCGGGCAGCCTGGATAGAGCGTTGGTGAGTAGGGGGGGAATGGAAGAGTTCATTTGCTACCCCTGGGGGGGAATGTCCCAAAAACTAGCAATTTAACCATTTTAAGTGCTGGGTAATCACCCCAATAGGTGATTTTCAGGGCAATTTCCAACTCCAGGGGGATTTCTCCCCTTTTTCTTGCTGGGGCAATTAATCTTTGCGGTGCAATTGAATTAAACCTGCTGTTGCAATTCCTTGCACTCTTAATTTTGCAGATTTAAATGCATGCCTTAGCAGCTGGATTTGCAAAATTAAGAGTGCACCGATTTCTCCTAAAAAATTAATTTAAAAAAACCGGTTTGGAAAAATGCTCCATTGGCCTTCTAAAAAAAAATGAACTCACCA